TAGAGTTTGGTCGCAACTACAGCTTCATAGTATCACTTGGAATTGGAGGGGGCTTTGAGAGGTTGTACCCAGGATCTGGTATTGCGTCGAAAATGCCGAGGAAAAGAACACAACGAAGGTCAGATGGTCTCGTACGAGTGAGGCAGTAATTGCGGGCGTGGGAGTCCAGCACAGCGCGAAACTAAGCCATATTGTTTAGTAGAGAAGGAGGGCAGAGGCAACGTATTCAGGAACACCCGGCAGAACAAAGACCATGGTCACAGTTCAATATAACCCACTCGAACTCCAAGGACCATGTTGGCCACAATAGGTGCCGTAGCAAGTGCTAATTATCACAGCTCGGAGTACGATGGGTTTCGGTTTCGGGCGTGGCTCCTTCGGGAAAGGCTGAATGGCAGAGCTGAAAGACTCCAGCAGAGAACAACGGCAGGCGAGGCTTGGCTGGTCAGGAACCGATCAACGACTTCGAGCCTCGAAGCGATGCGTTTCGTATGCCTTTTTTGTTCTGAGCCGCTATGGCGTTCCTTCCACGAGTCGCCCAACGTTCTAGAGGCCAACGTGGGTCGGCTGCCTTTGTGTTCTCGAGCGGGAGCCAAGCTAATGGTAGACGTTGCGGGTTTCAGTAGCACAATGGACAAAGGATTTTCGTAAGAAGCCGTTGATAAAGGGAACGTCGAGCGTGGAAAAGGGGAGAGATTATCGAAATGGGTGACGAACGGCGTCTCGATGTAGAAGGTTGGTCTGGAAGGATAGTCAGGTAATATTTGGCGCAAACAATACAGAAGTTGGAAAACAACAACGATGGTTGTCTAGGACGGTGTGGTACTGTATTGTGTGGTCTAGGTGAAACGATGACAGAAGACTCGTGCCTTGCTTTCGCAACGCATTGCTCAAGCATAGGTCCCCGGATTTGCTCATGCGCATCGTTGCGCAGAGACATGGGCTGGCCAAAACATGGTATCGGAGACAGGGCCCGTTGGAAAGAAGCATACGGAGTAAGGTAAGGTAAATGCACACGAACGTACGAAGTGAGCTCAATTGGCCCCGCGGCGATGATGCTGAGCCCCACCCATCGACCGGCCAACGGTAGGGCTCCATCGCTCTCAGCCAATAAGGTGGCGCGTTGGTACCGCGTCTCCGGTGCGTACCTCGGATTTCTCAGCTGTATTGACAAACACGGAAGTAAACAACCCAAAAAAGTCCACTGCACATTCTGGCCGCTCCAACCTTACCAGGCCGTTTTTGGTCATAAGCCGCCCGCCGTGGCAGTTACCCATCGTGCAGCTTTTTGGCTGAGACCTTTTTTTCTTCCCATCAAGAGTTGTTTCCAAACTCTCCATCCCCGTCCCCATCCTTCCTCCACTTTGGTCGTTGTCGAGGCAGCCTGGGTCTGGTTCTTATCCTCTACCATCCCGCAGAGATCAACCGACCTTCCCTTCTTTTATATCCCTACCCGTCGCAATCTCCCGTCCCTCGCCCATCCCTTCACTCCGACCAACCGTGCCCGTATCTGATCGGCAGCAATTGGGGACCACGACTTTCCACAACACGGTAAACCGAGTCGCTGTGGTGTTTACATGCTATCCCACGCGCAATCATTCTCAATCCCACGATAATCACATCAACATCCACTGCGCGCCTTCATAATTCTTCACTGCCCCACAAAGGTGCCCTCCCGAGCAGATTCAACCAGCAGCACTAAGGTAGCTATCTGCAAGACCAGCAGTCGCGATGGACGCTAGAGTAAGTCACTATCCTCCCTCGTAACCACCACGCCCGCGTACCTCACCCCAAGGACCAAGCAAGGGCGACTTTCTCAAACTATCGACTGACTTGACTCAAACAGCCTCAGCGCCTCAGAGTCCACCCAGGTGGCAACGAAAACATCATCCCTTCGAAACACGATTCTCTTCATCAGCGACACAAGTCTACCGGTAACCTGCAAGCCATGCCTCGCAACGGCGCTTTGCAGGTTGCTGCTAAGCGAACCGCATTCGGCGACGTCAGCAACACGGTGAAGAACCTGATCTCGCTTCCCAGCGACCAGATTGCGGGTAAGGGCAAGGCTGTGGATTACATCTACAACAAGGAGAACGCGGTCAATGGCAAAGATGGATTCTTCAAGGCCGCTCAGCGGGCCACAGCCCTCAGCAGCAAGAACGGACCCGTGACTGCGGAGTGGAAGCAGCCCAAGACTCAGAACAAGCAGATTGCCAAGAGATCCTCCGCTGCTCAGCTTTACGAGGCTCGTCCCTCCAAGAGCAAATTCGTGGCCCAGGACCCCATTTCAGAGTCAACCTCTGGCAAACAGCCTCGTCACCACAAGTCTCAGCCTCAGCTTAAGAAGGAGCCTGCTGCGCATGTTTTGCGACGGACACAAAGCAAGCTGACCACAGCCCCTGCACACGCTGCTCCTGCTGCGGCAGCCTGGAAGCCCATGGATGATGTGACGGAGGCTACCTACGAGGATGCTGTCGAGCACATTGGCGAAGAACAGTACCACGGCCCGTACCACAGACGCTCGCTGGACGTTCCGGATAGCGACCTACCTGAGGATCTTGCATCATCGAATGCTGCCGTGGACAAGCTTGGCTCCCTGGAGCCTCTTTCCGAATCACTGGGTGTTCCGAACATGTCGGAGGCGGAGGAGTATTGGGACGAGGATGACGAGGAAGAGCTCTATGACGACCAGGGCTACACGACTGCCCACTCATACCGTTCCCGCGGCGACCTTACCACGGGCGGCGCAACCACTATACTCGCTCCTAAGATTACCGACAAGGTCGAGCAAGAGTTGGAGACTGCCCGTGCCATCGTCGAGAGTACCCGTACCCAGGAGGAGGTTGACGACGAGATCTGGGATGTCTGCATGGTTGCAGAGTATGGAGATGACATCTTTGAGTACATGCGGGAGCTTGAGGTTTGTTTGTCCCGTTTAGCCTTCAGACAGGCATCTACTAACTATGGTACTTCTAGATGAGAATGTTGCCTGACCCTCATTACATGGACAACCAGGCCGAGATTCAATGGTCCATGCGCTCCGTCTTGATGGACTGGCTCGTTCAAGTTCACCACCGATTCAGCCTGCTTCCGGAGACGCTTTTCCTGACCGTCAACTACATTGATCGCTTTCTCTCGTACAAGGTTGTATCGATCGGCAAGCTTCAGCTCGTTGGTGCAACTGCATTGCTCGTTGCCTCCAAGTATGAGGAGATCAACTGCCCGTCGCTGCAGGAGATCGTCTTCATGGTAGATAACGGCTACAAGGTCGACGAGATCCTCAAGGCTGAGCGTTTCATGCTTAGCATGTTAAGCTTCGAGCTCGGCTTCCCTGGTCCGATGAGCTTCTTGCGTCGCGTTAGCAAGGCGGATGATTACGACCTGGAGACGCGCACATTGGCCAAATACTTTCTGGAGGTGACCATCATGGACGAGCGCTTCGTTGCGAGCCCTCCCAGCTTCCTCGCTGCTGCCGCGCATTGCCTGTCTCGCTTGATCCTGAAGAAGGGTGACTGGGTATGTCTGCTCAAACACGTTTATTCTACTAAGCCGCTAACAATGGAAATAGACTCCTGCGCATGTCCACTATTCTGGATACACCTGGGGCCAGCTCAAGAACCTGGTTGCTATGATCCTCGAGTGCTGCTACACCCCACGCAAGCACCACCTTGCGGTCTTTGAGAAGTACTCTGACAAGCGATACAAGCGCGCTGCTGAGTACGTTGAGACGGAGATTGCCAAGGGCTTCACCCTGCCCGCTGTTCGCCAGTCCACAGGCCGTGCGGCGGCTTATGACTTTGCCGAGATCGACGGCAACGCTGGCCAACCTCATCATGGCAAGCCGATGGTCGAGCTCCAGAGCTAGTGGGACAGTTGTGCTCGACCACCGATGACGCATCATGTGAGAGACTTCCCCGTGCGCCCGCGGGGCACTTGGCTCGATGCAACGACCTTTTTCTTCTCCTAAGCGACATCCGACGCGATATTGGTTGCGACTGCGGCGGCTATCATAATACCACGATTGCGAGTACGGCTGGACAACAGGTCCGGGCTTTAGACGCAACGACTGATTGGCCGCCGGCAACTCTTTTTACACAATGTTTTAGACCGCCCGCGCGATCTGTTGACGACACTGGACGACTTGACGATACCAATGACTGGTTTCTTACTCAGCCTTTCACCACTTTTCCGTTGGCCCCAGTCGATTTTGTTTTTTCTTTACTACGCGGCCAGGTTGTTTTGGCGTTGGAGGGAGGTTCCTCTAGAGGGCAAGGCAAACAAACTTTGCAGACGATGGGCGTGGCTTCCAGGAACAACATACCAGAACCGAAACCAAAAGCAAGCGCGATACGTGGAGGTGTGGCATAGATGAACAGGCACAAACTACGATGACTGCCTGAGGGAGGGTTCAGGGCAAGGCAATAACTTGTGTATGACTTATAATTCTTTGGCAAAGGGGGTGGGATTTGCATTTTCTATGTACTGTTACAGTTCAGCTAGAGGATCAGCTGAGATGGCCACAATGGATGGCGGCGTCACGGTAGTTGGGTCAGTAAGGAGGCAATGAATATCTTGACAGTACTTTTGGTCCGTTGATTGAATGATTTGATGAAGTACCTTAGTGGGGAGGACCACTACTTGAAGATTTTGGCTAGACGCGATTATCATGTTGGCACTCTCGTGCTATCTACAACCTGGAAGTCCTACCAGCATCTACCTCATTAAGGTACCTACCTACCTTACCTAAAGGTATTAACGTTGAAGTACAGCTCCATTCCCTTGCTGAGGGAAGCTATGATTGGGTCGTCAAGCTGCCCAGCACGCCAGCTATGGAAGCTTGAGGTGCCCCACTCGCTTGGAAGCTGGTGGCTGGTTCTCCATGTGGCACTTGCACCATGGGGTAGCTCCGCAGTGCGCCAGGCACTTGATTGGCCAACAGCTCAATTGACGAGGCCGTGGCCGCGGTGCGAGGGAGGTCCCTTTTTTCTCCAAGGCGGTGGTGGATCGATTGCTGTGAGGCCACCTGGCTGTTGTCGCCTCCCAGTCTAAGGTAGGTATGGTTGTCCAGTCTGCCTCTCTTTCCCATTGCTGAATCACCCACCTCACGCACACTTTTATTTCCCGCCTACCTTACCTATCCAACCTGACACCTCAGCGCAAAGACGCACGCGATCTGAGTTGAATTGGGTTTGCCCCAGCCCCCCCTTCCATCTGTCTCCATCTCCATCTTCCATCTGCCACTTTCCATCTTCCTCCTTACCTCCCTCCTCCTTACCCTTCTCCCCCACTCCAGTCAACCTTGCTTGCGATCGTTGAACTGGTCACGTCGCATCCAATTGCTTGTCCCTCGTCGTCACTACAATGGTTTACCTCAAGTCCTCGCTCCTGGCCCTTTTGGCCCTGCCCATCTCCGGCGTCTTCGCTGCCGAGGAAGCCCCTGTACGTAATGTTTCTTGACATCTTAGCACCCATGATGCTCATTGCTAACCATCACCAGGTCGACACCGACGCTGTTCCCCCGACCCTCAAGGCTGACATCGAGACCACCTTCCCCGATGCTGATATCTTTGGTGTGAAGATCGTCAATGGTCACCCCACCAAGGCCTTGATCGAGTTCACCAACAATGAGGATGCGCCGATTCAGGTCGCCATGGTTGGCGGCACCCTGTCTTCCACTCAGGAGCTTCCCGAGGACTCCCTTCCCAGCGACAGCATCATCCGCAACCTGACGGCTGCCCGCTACGACCTGACCATCGAGGCTGGCGACAAGAAGGCTGTTCCCTACTCTTTTGCTCTCGACGCCAACCCCCAGGATGTTCTCCTCCAGCTTATTGCTGTCGTGAGCAACTCCAAGGGCGATATCTTCCAGGTCCAGGCTTACAACTCCACCGCCGCCATCGTCGAGCCCCCTACCAGCATCTTTGACCCCCAGATGTGAGTTCTATAACCAATGCACAGCCATTGTGGCACGATGACAACCGCTGACAACTCCCGTAGCATCTTCCTCTACCTCTTCCTGTCTGGTGCCTTCGCTGGTACTCTGTACTTTGTCTACAAGACCTGGATCGAAGCCCTCTTCCCCCAGGCTAAGAAGGCCAAGTCTTCCAAGAAGGCGCGCACTGTTAGTGTCACCGTGCCCCTGGCTGAGGCTGACACCACTGGTGTTGCCTCCTCGACTGGCAAAAGCTACGACGAGAGCTGGATCCCCGACCACCACATCAACCGCCCTGTTGCCAAGCGCGTCAAGAGCGGTGCCAGTGGCAAGCTCAAGAAGGGCGAGTAGGAACGTAGCACCTCTACGAAGCGAGCCGCCTAGAAAAACGTGGATGCGTTGGACAAGACAGCAACCATGCGATCACAGATTGGCAACCTTGAAGAACCCAACGGGCTGGAAAAGAGCTTATAGGATGTTCACATTGAGTTGACGTTGGAGAAGGAGAATAAAAGTACTGTACAATAGCTGCATACAAGGCACGAAGCCGATGTTGGCGACTCCCGTAGGAGTTACTGGAGCTTTGTCATCGCCTCAAAGATGCGCTTTCAAGAATATGTGAACGATGCCTAGGATGATTCTTCCATTGACGTTGTTTCACTGGCAATTAACGACAATAAGGGAAGAATGGGCTGCCAAGAGCTTGTCGCTGGCTGTTGTCCGTACATTAAGCCTTGTGAGAGACTGAATATTGCGTTCGCCTGCAAGTTTGCCAACTCTCAGCATAGATATGTGACTATCAATCACTTCAACAACGAAAAGCAAGTCTACCTTGCCTGATCTGACCTGAGACGCATCCAATTGAGGTTTCAGGCCCCTGACATTACCGTAATGCGGTCAGAACTCTGATTACTTGTGCCAGAGCAGGGACCGGAATGTTCTTGTACGTGGGACCAGTGGAAAGTGCAATTTTGATTTGCAATCTTTTCAATACCAAAACATGATGTATTGAGAGAGTTTGGGTTATTGCAAGATTATCTCATTAAATGTAGATGCATCTCCATGGTCCTTGGTGCAAGAGCTTTCAGTCTGAAGTTGGGTGGTCCTGGACTCCTGGGAGGCACCTACCCCAGAAGCGGGTACCTACCTTTGGTGCTCAACGAACCTACCTAAGGTAGTAGCTTCCCCATGTGCGCGAGAGTGACGCGCAAACGCGCTTTCCACCCACAACGGTCGCTTCCACGCTATGAGCATCGGGCCTTAATTGCACATTTGGGACTTGTCCACCCGCTTTCTGCTTCTTCTCTCCTTCACACTTCACTCTCTCCCAGACTCTTTCGTGAACTCCATTCTCTTCGATCGTTGCGGAGAAGAATTGTACAGTACCTCGAGGGGCTTTTTCAGACCTCTGATTTCTTGCGTAATTTTTTCCACAATTTCTTTTTCTTCGCAAATAACTTTCGTTTGACACACACACACATAATCTACAATGGCACCAACCGTTGAGGAACCCGTGAAGCGCGGTCGCGGTAGACCCCCCAAAGCCGATGGCCAGAAGAAGACGCCCTACGTTCCCACAGGACGTCCCCGTGGACGCCCAAAAGGTAGCGGAGGCGTGAAGAAGACGGTCGCACCTACTACCACTGGCACCAAGACGCGCGGAAGACCCAAGAAGGCCGACGACGCGACCGCAGCTACTCCCAAGAAGTCTGCCACGCCCAAGAAGGCTACACCAAAGTCTGCCGGCGCAGGCGGTCGCCGTGGCCGTCCTCGCAAGTCTGACGCCGCCGCTACACCCAAGGCCGAGTCTGCCAAGAAAGGCAAGGCTGCCAAAGAGGAGTTGCCCGCTGATTCCGACTCGGAGGACGGAGAGGAAGGTTAGCTCAAGATCTCTCCCCTTCCGGCTCGTGTACGAGTATGAACGTCAGCTCACTAATACATCAAGCACAGGAAATTAAGGAAGACGCCGCGATGAAGTCGCCCTCCGACGCCGCGGACTCTGCTGAAGAGGTGCGTCCCTGGCTGCCATCGAGAATGATACGAGGAATATTCGGCTGACCACGAAATTTTTTCATCCACAGTAATACAACGGACGAAAGGGGAAGACATTTTTGCTACATTTTTTGCACGGGATCTTGGGGTTTTTCGTCTGGCGGACACTGGGGAAAACATAAGAGGGCGTTGGGGTATCGCTTCCAATTTGTTTAATGGGCTTGGTGTCGATGACGGTCCTGGTCCTCTCCCGCCTGCAGACCGTGCGACATGCGAGGCCCTGACCGTTACTGAGATACCATGCTTTTTGCTGAATACGAGACTATTTCGTCTCCACCCTTCTATGGTTGTCATTGTGAAGACGCAACCTCACGTCTTTGGGCTGAGGTTGTGCTGCTCCAGGCTTTGCTTTTTCCTCCTTTGCCCCCCTTGTTTCTCTACTGCCTATCGCAGTTGTGGTCTTACCGTCTTTACTCCTTTTTCCACTCGACGAATTCTTGGGAGAGGTGCTCCTTCAGCTTCGCAAACTGGTTTTTGAAGTTATCCTTGCACCTCCAGCAAACAAGGTCCCTTTTCATGAGATAGCCCTCGTGGCCGGGATGACGCCTGGGGTCGTCCGGGGCCAGTGGGAAATCGGCAACATCGACCAGAAAAGGGGTATTGAAGGAGTTGTAGTGCTTGCGATGCTTCAAGCACACGGAATACATGTCTCGCGAAAGTACGTGGACGTGTAGATGGTTCATGCTCGGATGCGCATGTATGCCGCTAATGATCTCGGCGTGCCAGTCACGGCCCTTGGGAAGCTCGGTGCCTGTGGGCTCTGCGCGTCCGTCGAGCACGGCTTCTCGGTCGGCCTCGGCCTTGCTTTCCTTTGCGAATCGTCGCTGTAGCTCTTTGGCTACGAGGTCCTTCAGCTTCAAGACCTCGTTTCGTACCGTCGCTAAGAAGTCGGGGTCGTCAAAGGCTTCGAACGGGTGGAGGAGGGTGTGTTTGGGGGATCGAGGGAGCAGTAGCGTGTGGACGCTGGCTTTCGGGTACAGGTCGTTGATGGCGACGAAATCGTCATTATGGTAGATCACTCGCGAGGCAGGGAAGGAGGACGGGTTTTCGATGTATACACCAAGGCCATCGCGGCTTGTGTGAGGAGGCTTGTTTCGAGAAGCCTTGGGGGGTTCTGGGGTCGGTTCGGGCTTGCGCTTTCGTGTCATGAGCTCTGCGACTTGGGGTGCGCGAAGGTCAGAATGCTTGCGAGGTTTCGGGGAAGATTTCTGTAGGATGGCTTACAGGCATTTCGCGGTTGGGTAGGTGCGGCGGCGGTCCCTTGGGTCTCATCCTTGGTGATGGCGTCTTCAGGATCTGAGTCTGTGCCCGCCATTGTCCGTCTTGCTGGTGAGATGTTTCAAGGCTAGGCGTGCGAAAGGCTTTGCGTGTCGCCCAGAGCGTGTGCCGTGTTCAATGAACCATTCTTTCTACGAAGTGCAGTGGTGACGAAGACTCCGTAGCTTCAAGGCTGCGATCTGCGATCTCGTTGCGACCAAAGGCTGTCTACCCTGGGTACGACAACAAATGTGAATGTGCATCAGGCAGTTTGGAGATTCGGCTGGACCCTTCAAAGGATATAATCGAGGTACCCACAGCGGGGGAGCTGCAGGAGAAGCCGTGCCCCTCCATCCAGCGCCAGCCGCCATCAACGTCAAGGTCGCTGAGTGGCCACTGCAAACTGCCTCTGCAACCGCTAACGGCAAGTGGCTTTCTGCAACTGGGCTCCAACAACCACCCCAATCAACCTGGGAAATCCACGGGCAAATAAAATTTCCCAGTGCTTTCAGTGACATCGCAAAGAGCTCATTCGCGTAGTTGATCTGAGGTGGCTCACGATCAACCGACTGCGTTCTCGTCTTCACCGCCAACAGGATTTTCCATGGCTCAGACTTGCCCTTAGACAAACACCTCGACACGCCACCAAATCATGGCACCGCCTAAGAAAGGCAAGGGAAAGGACAAGGCCGCCGCGCCAGCCCCAGCGGCGCAAGCAGCCGCATCGTCTTCCAAAGATGGCGCCAAATGCAAAAAGACTGGCGGTCTATCGCTCATGGAGCAGGCCGCCGGCCCAGCTGCCAATAAGCCCACCGTCAAACAGATCATTGGCGGGTCGTCATGGACCGGAAAGCTGCCGCAGAACCTCTTCAATGAGTATTGCCAGAAGCAGCAGTGGGAGAAACCAGTCTACGACATGCGCAAAACTCCGGAGGGATACGCCTGCTTCATCACCCTCAGCGCGAAGGACCCGAAGACGAAAGAGCTCATGACCCTTGACTCGTTCAAGATTGCGCCGGACTTCAAGCATCTGCTCACTAGGCCGACTGCCCTGGAGGCGAGGCATGCCGCGGCCACGTATGCCCTCTTTAGGGTGTGCAGCATGCAGAACAAGCACATGGTGCTGCCGCCCGACTACAAGTCCATGTGGAAAGATTTCCAGGAAATCAAGAAGCAGGACGTCAAGGATGGCAAGGCGTGGATGTACGACGCGGACCCGTTCAAGACTCTCATGGAGAGGAAGGACACCAAGGCCGCGGCTGAGAAGAAGCGCAAGGAGGCGGAGGCGGCCAAGGAGAAAGCAAAGTCTATGCCCGGTGCGTCTGGGTTGGCTGGCGCAAACGCTATGAAGGGCTGGGTGACAGCGCCAAAGATTGAGATGGGCAAGCGTTCACGAACCCAGGTCGAGGCGCTGATTCAAAAGTATGTTGTTTGGAACCCAAACAAGATTCAAATACCAGCGGCTCAGAAAAAGGCGATCGTCGACGAGCTCAGCAAGCTGGGATTCCGACGAAGTCACGTTGAGGAGGCTACGGAGATCTGCAAGGACCGTGAGGAAACGCTCGAGTGGCTGTTGATTCACGTTCCTGAGGATGACCTGCCGCGATGGGCACTCCCGGAGAGCTATGCGGCCGGTATCTCGGTCGCGTCCATGGACCTCAAGAAAGAGGCCGTCATCAAGCGTCTCTCAGAATCTGGTTACGCCCTCGACCTGTGCGCCCGCGTCCTCGAGGAGGCTGGCGGCAGCGAAGGCCGGGCAGCCGAGCTCCTTCAGCTCCGTCTGTTGGGGCAAGTGTCGGGAGACGAGTCCCGGTCGACCGCGGAAGATCTTCTTCCCCCGGGTGTCTCAGCGGAAGAGCTCTGGGAAGATGAAGTTTCTGCGATGGAGTCTTCTTTCGGCGACCTCTTCAAGAAAACATCGGCGGACATCATCCAAGTAAAGCTTGAAAAGGTCAAGAACGCAGGGAAGCCGGTAGAGGCAGCCGTTCAGGTTCGCAAGACGCCGAATTACCCTGCTCAGCTCAACTTTGCCGTTGTGGCACCTCTCCCGGCGCAGATCAAGCTGTCGATAATCAAGCAGACGATTGGATATCTAGACGACTCTTACTGGGAGGAGCCTATGAAGGTCTTTGTTGCCATTGACTGGATCCAGCAAAATATCAACGACATCATTGAACGGCCAGGCAAATTGTTGGACATCTCATCAGTAGCCTCAACGGCGTCCGAGGTACCCAACGAAGCCCGGTCGCAGAGAGTCTCGAACAAATCCCAGAGAGCACCTAAGCCAATCTCATGGACACCTGACGAACGATCACGAGATGACTGGTTGAGAAGAACGGAGGATCCAGCGTGGGAGAAGATGATGTCGAAGCGTCAAAAGTTACCTGCGTGGCAGGTTCGTGACAAGATTGTTCAGACCGTCGAACACAACCATGTCACCATCATCAGTGGTGAGACTGGTTCTGGAAAGTCAACGCAGTCGATGCAGTTCATTCTGGACGACCTGTACAACAGAGGCTTGGGCAAGTGCGTCAATATGCTTGTGACACAGCCCAGGAGGATCTCCGCGCTTGGTCTGGCCGACCGTGTGGCCGAGGAACGGTGTAGCAGAGTTGGAGACGAAATCGGTTACGCCATTCGCGGCGAGAACCGTAGAAGCAACAACACAAAGATCACATTCGTGACGACTGGTGTGCTACTGAGGAGGCTGCAAACTTCCGGTGGAAAGATTGAGGACGTTGCGGCGTCGCTGGCAGACGTCAGTCACATCGTCATTGACGAAGTGCACGAGCGTAGTCTGGATACAGACTTCCTTTTGACCATTGTCAGGGAGGTTATGAAGACGAGGAAGAACCTCTTGAAGTTGGTCCTCATGAGTGCCACGCTTGATGCCGCGTCTTTCAACTACTACTTCACCTCCCAAGGCTTGGACGTCGGCATGGTGGAGATTGCTGGAAGAACGTACCCTGTTGATGATTTCTACCTAGACGATATCATCAACATGACGGGCTTCAGAGGTGACATGATTGACGGAGATGGCGGACGAGGCGACGCCATGGGCAAGGTGATTCAAAAGCTGGGCCATCGCATCAACTACGATCTTCTGGCAGAGACCGTACGGGAGATTGACGCGGATCTGTCTCATACGGGCAAGTCGGGCGGTATACTCATCTTCTTACCCGGAGTGGCCGAGATCAACAGGGCGTGTGGCGTCCTGCGGTCTTTCTCCTCGTTACACGTTCTGCCTCTGCATGCCTCATTGGAGACCAAAGAGCAGAAACGGGTCTTTGCCAGTCCGCCGCATGGCAAGAGAAAGATTGTTGTGGCTACCAACGTGGCGGAGACATCGATTACGATTGACGACATCGTTGCCGTCATCGACAGCGGCAAGGTAAAGGAGACCACATACGACCCTGTGAACAACATGAGGAAGTTGGAGGAGAACTGGGCCTCTCGAGCAGCGTGTAAGCAACGGCGTGGTCGTGCTGGCAGAGTGCAGGCCGGCAAGTGCTACAAGCTGTACACCAAGAACCTCGAGCAACAGATGGCTGAGCGGCCGGATCCGGAAATCAGAAGAGTACCATTGGAGCAGATGTGTCTGTCCGTACGGGCCATGGGTATGTGGAATGTGGCCGGATTCCTCTCCCAGTCGCCTACGCCGCCCGATAGCACAGCCGTTGATGGCGCGATTAAGCTCTTGCGCAGAATGGGTGCGTTGGACGGAGACGAAATGACCGCGCTTGGTCAACAACTAGCCATGATCCCCGCTGATTTGCGATGCGCAAAACTCATGGTGTACGGTGCCATCTTTGGCTGCTTGGATGACTCGGTCACGATTGCCGCCATTCTCAGCACTCGCAGTCCATTCATGTCGCCTCCGGATAAGCGCGACCAGGCCAAGGACGCGCGCATGAAGTTTTCCAATGGAGACGGCGACCTGCTCACCGATCTTGAGGCTTTCAAGCAGTGGGACGAAATGCGCGGCGACGGGGTGGGACAGCGGCAACTTCGCAACTTTTGCGACGACAACTTCCTCTCGTGGCTTACGCTGAATGACATATCGGCAACGCGAATGCAGTACTATTCTGCCCTCGCCGAGATTGGTATCGTCGAGACGAGCAAGTCCGGCGCCGCTCAGAGCCAGAGCAAATCCGGCATGACTCTTTTACGTGCGATTACGGCCTCGGCGTTCAACCCGCAGATTGCGCGGATCCAGTATCCCGACAAGAAGTTCACCAGCACGGTTTCCGGTGCAAAGGAGTTGGATCCGGAGGCGCGGTTGATCAAGTACTTTGCTCAGGAGCAGGGCCGAGTGTTTGTGCATCCCAGCAGTACGCTTTTCGGCAGTCAGGGGTTCACTGGTAACGCCTCGTTCATGTCGTATTTTACTATGATTTCCACCAGCAAGACATTCATCCGAGACCTCACACGTAAGTTCCTATTACACAACTCAAGGTGAAGATGACTGTGCTGATTCTCAAATAGCTTTCAACGCCTACACTTTGCTGTTGTTTTCTGGTGCCATCAGTCTAGATACACTGGGAAGAGGACTGGTCGTCGACGAATGGGTGCGCCTTCGAGGCTGGGCGCGGTTGGGAGTTTTGGTGTCGAGACTCAGGGGCATGGTCGATGACGTGATTGCGATGAAGATTGAGAACCCTGGACTGGATCTCACAGACAACGAAGTGATCAAGCTGGTTGCGAAGCTGATAGAGCTGGACGGACTAGACGCATGATAGAACGGGTGGTATGCCGTACTTTTTTGTGGATTATTATGCCGGCGCAAATATCGAGGGGCAAAAAATAGAGTGAGCAACGCAACACACCACACGGCATTGCGTCCCACATTTTTCTTATTTTGAGTATGTATTCAAGCAGAGGCGATGTGGATAAGGCGGGATGTTCATTCCACGCCAGAGACGCGGCCGAAGCAAGGCCGCGCACAACGGCTGGCCGCGTAGTTCATTACTCAGACTTGATGTTATATTGTAAGTGCCCGTCTTGAAAACTCTTCATTTGCCGCGACGAAACAAGGCAGTTGTCTGAAATACGGTGGAT